GGGTTAGATCAGTGCCCTGATCACGAAGATGACATTCTTTTTTGACGCCAGCGCAACTTGGCGCCACGACATTTTTCCCACAATTGTTGAGAGAAATTCATCTTAATGGTGCTATATTTGCGGCCTTAACCATATTATGGATCTAACATAGAGGTAGTACCACTTGGCACCCATCCTGAGGTGTCAGCCAGAAAAAAAACCGCACGCCGTAGAGAGTCGAACCAGCAACCCCCTATGTCGGCGTGCCAACTTGAGACCGTCGCGCTACCTACTGAGCCATCGAGTGCACTTCCACAAAGAAGTGCCGAAATCCCTTATGAAGTCATGCCACTTTCTCCAGCACATAGCTTGGACAAACGCAATATTTTGTTAGAAGTTCGCGTTGTTTTTAATGCACGGATAGCGGTAACCCTTTAATATGACATCAGTCAACGTTGTGGACGATATGCCCCACAATGAAGCGTAGAAACGACAGTTTCCAAGGTAATTTTTCTTCGCTCCTTTTTTGGTATTCAGAGAGCCATTTAGGAAAAATGAACCATAGATTTGTGGTTCTTGCATGTGTCCCTATATCATGCAAAAAACCGTTTTCGAAAAAGCTTGGCACGCCCTGAACGACCTTCCTGGTAAGACTCCTTGGAACAGATTGCAAGGTTTTGTGGATAACTCCTCCTACCTCATCGCACGCCCCACCCAACAATATCTCTTCATCTCCGTTCGTTGTCGTACACTACCCACTTTTGCTCCGGTCTCAAGGGCTCTCTGGAACCGAGTCATGATGTTTCGTTGCAAACCCTGCCTACGTCTATGGACGCTCCACCCACCAGTAGCAGCTGACCTCCCTTCTTACGCTAACCTTTACCCTTTGTTCGCGCATCATGGACTTTCCGTAACCGAATACAAGGATCTGATTAAAATTCGTCCATTCAGAGAACGCTCTGCCCACCGCGGGCAGGTCTCCCTAATTGGACTCATACTCATAGCACACCTATTACCTAGCATTACCTATTGAATATTATATATCACCTAACACACAAGCACTTCCCTTTTGCCTTTTTATTTCTATGTTTCAATAGTGTGGAAGCTCTATTTTCATAGCACAAATTGAACCATTTTGAAAATTTGAGATGAGAACAGACGGGTAACGCTGCACGGTCATTTTAGTTGCCTAAACCTGCCTATGACCCCCTCTCCCGTCCTCCCTGCAAGGCAAAAGCGATCCATTATTGAGGAGATCCTCTACCATTGGCCAACTTGGATGGGGCTGGTCATCGAGACTGCGACCACAAGTTTCGATCGTTTCTTCTTTCAAATAGTCTCAACAAACAAACAAATCCTTCATCTCCAGCATCGAAGCATCCTTGCCAAAACTTTTGCTACAGCACGTAAGCTTGAATTAGAAATAAAAACTCCTAACGCAAATTAAACACTAAAAAAATTAGAATCTGTTGCACTTCGACTTGTATTTCCTTGGGAATTTATGGAAATACTTCTTAGATAGTTCATGGATTTTCAGCGCCAGACATGGGTTTTGTGGATGATACCGTTGAAAGCAGACATTTGAATTTTCATTTCCAGTTCTTGTCAAGGGATCTCTTTACCCATCGGAGTGAATTTGTTGCCGTGCAATTACGTTTGTGTAGAAGTTTCATAGAAATATTCCCCAGTATATCCATCGATACAGTGGCAAACAAGTACGGGACTTGAATTATCTGTGTTGTGGAGGAGTTTTTCCTCAATCCAGAAGAGTCCGTACCCATGTATTTGTATGTTTAAACGTGAGCCCAAAACATTCCGCAAAATGGGTTCGGGCTTTGAAACAATTTGCGGCCGCAAGGGCGCCCTAACTACTTTGTTTGTTCCACGGATTCAGTTTTGTTATGCTTATAGAAATTAGTTTTGGGTTCCTACAGGGTAAATGGGTGCACTTGCAGTAGCATGATGGATTCCATTGGGATTAAATTGTTTCCCCTATGGTGCCACGTGAATGATTACAGTGACTACTAAATGTTGCTGAGGCACGCTGACTTAGAAGTATATTCGGATGCATTGATATTTTGAGCCATTCGTTTACTTGCTGTTTTCTTAGCGGCACTGAAAAACACAGTTTGCTTGACTACTACTCAAACAAATTCCCTACCCTAAACGAGTAACGCTTCAACTGCGGATGTTTTGAGGAAACTGCTCAAGATTGAAAAGAATAAAGTTCGAAAAAGTATAGCGTGGTACAGCGAAAAGGAACATATCTGAAATTAAGGTAAAGATAAAGCATCGGGCTTTGACCATTCCAGTTCGAAGTGTGCTACGCTCACCTGCTTCCACTCATAATCGCAATGTCATCAGGATGCGACTATGTAGTTCTACACGATGAGCTGCGAGGGTCAGCTGATGTGCGAGCAGCTTTAAATTTTTGAGCACTATTTTTGGCCCCAGATCACTAGGTGGAACCTACCGGGAGAATGCGGTTATAGGCAATTTTTTTTTGGTTCGGGCGGAAATTGAAACAGGAGCTTTCGCTCTCCGGGCAGATGAACTACTGCTTGCACTGCACCATCGAGGCATTCGACGTCACCCCTCAAAGTGTGGTTAAGAGAGGGTGCCCCCGTGTACCATGAAACGAAGAGGCCCGAGTGGGTCGATGCCACATGAGGCGTGTGTTTCGCAAATAATAGGTTCTTTTTTTCAATATTTGTTATAAAAATGTGCCGTAATCGCAAAGTGAACTGAATTATCGTAGAGGCGCGTAAGCGTAGGGCTGCAAAATGGTCAGCACACCTACCACTCTCATTTTATCTAGGCGTGTGATCTGTTTTTGTATTTGCTACAAGCCGTTAGAGCCGCAAAGCCTTAAAGAACACAACAAACGCAAGCTAGGGTGCACTTATGTACTTAACGATGCACTACTTTCTTGATGAGAGAATGAGGCTACGCCAAGAACAAGCTAAGAATCGAGAAACATCGTGTGAACTGGGTCATGAGGCCCACGGTTATTCTTCCCGCTTCGCGTGCTTTATTTTGAGAGCAACGACTCATGCACCAGCGCCTGCCGTGCAGCTCCATAGTAGCCCTCTGTCTTGCAAAGGCCGTGCAATATCCACTGGTGGTTAATCATTAAACCAGAACGTGATCGCGTAGAACTACGTAGTACGACAACCGCATGCAATTTTCATGTATTGTGGTGGTCCTTAAGATTTCGTGGTGACAAGCTTGATTGCCTACCATGTGTAAATATCAAAATGAAACCAAATAACTGATTAGTTGCGCAAGTAGTTGTTAAACAGACTTTTTTGAGCTCTTTTGTTTCAACAACAAAGTCTGTGAAGAATATATGGAACTTCACTGTCAGATAATTGTTGCCAATGATTCACAGAAAAGCCGATGCCATGCTCCCAACAGGTCGGCTTAGAAGTGCAAAAACCTCGATTTCATGGTTTTCTGTGATGGTATTTTTCTCCGCAGTGCTAATCAAAAAGGATAGACCAGTTAGGAATTAGGCTGTTCGGCCCGGCACGGTGGTTTTGGTAGGGCTGCTCAAGTCTCCAAGCAGCAAACCCTGATGAGGTCGTTTTGAAGAGTCTGCTCTATAGGTGGGATAGGGTAGCCCACGAGTATCACAGATTTGCCGTTGTTGCGACTCAAAAGTGCGAGACAAGTGGCGCTAGTGGCCTTACAAGTGATCTGATGGCGACCAATATGAACTTACAGACGAGATTCCTTGCACTCTCCCGCACGCAACGGAGATACTGACGTAACGGGTAAAATAGCCAACAAGTAAATTGGTATGGTAGACTCATTGCATTGATGCGATTTAAAAAACCTGTCCAGACACATCTTTTCCACGCTACCATTATCAGTATCTGTTGCCCTACCAATTTGAATTGAGGTTCTTGCTTTCAGGAATTGCGAGTTGCCCAATCCTTGAAACATGTGGTCTAGGCTGTCGTGAAGCGGACATACTATTTGGAATTATGAGGCCACTTAAGACCAAGTTTAAGTTGTTTCCCCATCGCATTCGCCGTTGGTTGTAGCAGTCCACGATTCAACGCTAGAGCGAGGTTAAAGTTTCCGGTGGTTCTGCCGACCTTAGGCTGATAGTCTGACCATTTTCTAAACTTGGTAACTTTTTGGGGTGATCGATGCAGCCACTACCTAGCCCCTGAGAGGTAACAGCGCTTCTACATATTTGTTATCAGTTGTAATGACGTCGTACCGCCTGTTTATGCAGGACTGTGAAAAAGTCTGCAGAATGAACTCATCTCGCACGCCTATTATCACTGTTCAAATATTTAAGTGTCGTTTGGCCAGACTCCAGCACTTTTCCATGAGAGAGAAGGCCTTTGTAAACTGTATAACTGAGACATCTTATTACGGTGGCCACAGAGCCTGTTGAGTCGTACGGGTTGGCTTCGTTGAAAAATTTAAACTGCGGGCGGAAATCCGGGGATTCGTCGACGACTCGTCAAGGATTTTCGCTTACTCGGTTACACTCTCCCGCGCGACATTCACTCTCGCCACGCGCGAGCCGTCTGTGCTCTCCGCGCGTATATTCACTCTCGACACTACTCTCACACAGTGAGAGCATGGTCAAGGATTCCTCCACCGTTATTCACCCTGCAGCTGATCCCAACCTGACACCGATGGCTTTGCCGAAGAAGAGTTTTCTTCAAGGCTGTAGCCTCCTCAGCGAAGCACATTCAACCATTCTGGTATCGCATGATGGACGATACAAGGAGATGTATCGCAATGCACATGTTACTTCTGGCTTCGGTCATTTTGCTGCTCAATAGAGGTCTAAAATTGGAAGCATGAAAAAGTGACCCTGTTCTCTTGCCATTTTTTGATCGATGAAAATAACTAGGGTGGGAGTAATTCCGTTGTAGATTCTAAAAAAAGAAAAAATCTAAAGATTGGCACGAACTTTTGAGATAGCCTGATAATATATGCTAAGTTTATAGCTTCAATTTTAATGGTTCTGTGGGACTGATAATCTTTTTTTCAGAATGGTCGCTCATAACGGAGAAATTAACACACTTCGTGGTAACATCAACTTGATGCGAGCACGTGAAGGAGTAATGTCTAGCACGCTATACGAAGATGATCTCTTGAAACTTTACCCTGTCGTTGAAGAGGTAGGAGTTGTCGAAATTCCGCTTTACAAAAGAATTGTACTGATTTCTCGTAAAACAGTTTCGCAAAGAATTTTACGCGAAGTAGCAGCATGCTTGATTTTCGTAGTGAGCAGTGATGTGCATGAAATACCCTAATCCATTTTGCTACCCAACCTGGGTAACGACGTTTTGCATTAGATTGTTTTGACGAGACGCGCTTTTTGAAGGGAATTTCGCGCTTGATTTGTGAAAAACAACATGCTCATGGAAAAAGAAAAGATTCATGCTCTCATCTTTTTTTTTGCTTTTTTTCGTCACTGAAACTTCCTCAGTTTTTTCCTCAGATTTGTGCGAACCTCTGCTTTCAGGGTTTAACTGACTCTGGATGTTTCGATAACGTATGTGAGTTTCTTGTCAAAGCCGGACAGCGATCGCTACCCGAAGCGGCAATGACAATGGTCCCAGAGGCATGGGAAAAAGACGAGGTCGTTCTAAAACCCCTTGTTTTCGTCAATTTTGCAACTTTCTTAAATCATGCTATTATGAGAGTCTGCACAGCACGCGCATGTTACTTGTGCTTCCAGGAAATGGACCATGAGAGAAGGGCTTTCTATCGTTGGGCTGCTATGGCTATGGAACCATGGGATGGACCTGGTAAGTGATCGGTTATTGTTCGGAACCACTGATTCTTGAATAAACAAACTTGTCATTTGTGCTTGTCTCCTTGAGTGTTCGCTTTTAGGGAATATTCATTAATCTCTAATTTCCCGTGAAGCTGTCAAGGAAAACTGCATCAGCTGTTCACGAAATGTCATTCACTCGTTTCGACCTTTAAGCGTGATTCATTCTTCCTTCATATTGATGCCTTGTCATTTTTGGCTTTTAATTAACCCTTTTTTGGCATTGACCTATTTTGGTGGTGAACCCGTAGAACTCCAATGGATAGATCTGATCATTCAGAATTATGCTTAATAACTTCACCTTGTTTTCTATGAATTGAGATAATGTAAAGTTCGAAACCCAGTTATCGAGTTTGTGAGGCGGAATCAACAAAAGCGAGCTGAATTAGTGAATTCATAGAGTCATTCATATGCGAACAGGAAACCACTGGTGGTTTTACGAGCAATCGGGGGTGGTGGGCAGTGGATTAACTAAATTGTTGACTTCTGAGTCCCTTCCATTGTCTGGTTACTTTGATGTCTGAAATCTCGAATCAGGACAGCTCTGTCTACAACAGCGAAACTGTGGTACTAAAGGGAAAGCTGGTTAAATGATAAAACTAAGTCCACTATGAAGGGTCGTACTATAAACACCTACATGCAATTTGCCCCCCCCCCTCCCCTCTATATTTTGCTTTTATATGTGGGTACCTGATGTAAAAAAACTATGGAAGATGCTTTCGAGTCGCGGTTCCTGAAATCTTCAGCCTGATTTTGGTTGATTTTTATTTCTTGCGAAGATACAATTTGAAAGCGCCTTGTAATGAAACATAATTGTATAGGCATTTTATGGAAATGGGGAATTCGAAGCCACACTTACAATTTACCCAGCTATATTTCAATTACTATACCCTCTTTACCCATCGCACCCGCTTCTACGATATTTTTCGAGTGATCATCACTAGGGTCTGCCTTTCAAAATCCATGCTGCCCCTTTTCCCAGAATAGCTGGCATTCATCGAAAATCCCGGCTCAACTTTGGTAGCTGATTCTGATACTTCCAGCTCTTTTGGCGTTCTCTGATGGCCGTTACGTGGGTGCCATACTGGATCGGAAACGGACTACGTCCAGCTCGTTACTATCTTACAGCTGATGATCATTTGTATTTGTCATCGGAGGTCGGTGTGAATGATCATGATGAAACGACGATTGTGAAGAAGGTACGTTGTTCAGAGCCTTTAACGATAATTTTATTCGCACACACCATCAAAATGAAAAGGAAACTGATAAAACTTTGGATCGTTGGAGGCCGGTGGATTTGTTGAAGAACTGGAAGGCGGCTCGGAAAAAATCGTCATCATATATCCGAAATAGGAGCATTTGTGTAAGAGTAAAACCGCGTCGCCATTACTAGATCTGATCATGTCTTCTGAACGTACGCCCAATCTCTACATGTCACCATCATTGGAAGGTGAAGTGCTGAAACATGTAGAGTACGAATGTCTATCTTGATCCGCAGGAAATGTATAAGGAGTGCTTGATTCCAAACTGTAGGCCTGTCAGAAGTTTTGGGTTGAAAGAGCCTGGAATATGCGAAACGGACTTATGATTGGTCATATTTGGTGATGGCCAGTCGCCTGCTCGCTGCGCATGACCAACGCTGTTCCATCCCGATCATAGCAGAACACCCTCAAACCCCTTTCTTAGTGTCAGGCTTGATATTGGTCCAACTACCCTGTCAAAATCGTGCAATTCTTGAACATTTGTTTGAGTACGTTAAAGCACTCGGGAAGGATTTAGCATTAACTCTCTGTAACTCACCCGAGCAGCTCGATTGGGAAGTATTCGCCAGGTAGAGGGAAGCGGTAACCAGCCGAGTCAATGTTTCGTTTACCAAAACGCATAAAAATGCGATTCGGTGCTGATGTGACGATCACAATGCCAAATACAAGCACATAAAATAGAGCCAGAATAGCACGTGCCGACAACATACTACCTAAAAAGAATATTCTGTAACTGATGAGCCGGAATTTAATTGAGGGCTCAATCGGGGTTGTATTCCAAGCAGTGTCGACCAATGTGGCTATGGTTCAGAAGATGCTAATACGCTTAACTTTACGGGACCTGCAACATATTTACTAGCGGGATCGACAGTTGAAAAAGACTAGTGGCAAATAAGAACCACCGATAACTGTGTTGAGAAAATTAAAACCAAGATCGTATTCTATTAGAGAATTTCCCTAACCCTTGTGAACGCTCAACAAGAAAGAAGCCCTTCAAGAAGAAAAGTGGTGCCGTACAAGAAGCCCTTCAAGAAGAAAAGTGGTGCCGTACAAAACCACGCCAAATGTTGTCATGTGTCTGGACGCAGTGTTTTTGCTGATTGAGACTTTTTGTGACTAGAGGGGCGTATGCGTGTTACTTTGTTAGCGTTTGTACTAGCACCAATGATATTAGGTGCGAAAACAAAGCGCTAGGAGAAAGCCAGATTGGGATGGCGTCAAGGCCAAAGCCCCCATACGCAACCGCAAGTTAGCTGGAGATGGCAAGCCTTGTGAGCAATGAGTGAATCAGTAGAAGCAGTGTGAAAATAGATCGAACAGTGTGAGACGGGAGGCGGAATCTGACCAAAAATGTTATCAAAATCACGGAACAAGCAGTATTTTACGGAGGAGCTCCATTGGTGAGAAGGGGAATTGTGTGAGAGAGCGAGGTTGAGAAGAGGCGGAGTTAAATGGAGCAGCTTATGAAATAGCTCGCCGTGTACATGGAAAAGGCAGCAATGGATAAATGAGATAAATAAGTAGATAAATGGTGGTTTTTAAATAAGCATTAGAAACTGACACGAAGCTGGCGAAGAATGAATTGGCCTTGGATTTACCACGAATGTCGTCACGTCAGTAGGCACCGCCTTCCCAAAGATGGGATACGGTATCGTGAAGGGAAGGTTTTGTGTAGAATAGAAACACTTTTAGCGAGTAGGTTAATTTTTCCTGTTTACCCTGAGAGTAGACTTGCCTGTGAACTTGAGCGGGACTTTATTGTAGGATCAGTTCTTTTTGGGTACTTGTTTCTTCGGTTGTTGTGGAGTCGGCCTTCAGCACTTCATACTTACAAATTAAAGATACTCGTAACTAGATATCAGCCTGGAGGAACTTTTTCAAACCCAAAACATGGGCGAATAGTAACGAATCAGTTATCAGCTTTTTACCACCTCACACTATTATTATTTTGACTAATATTTTGTTAAAACAAAAAAAACGTGGTAAAACGAAGTGCAACGTAGTCAAAAGAGGTGTTTTGTCTCAGCGAAATTTTTGCTGTGTATGTATAGTGAGGGAGAAAATACGAATGTAAGCCTACTCTTGTATCAGGGCTTACAAAAATAGTCGTGTTTTGATTTACTTTACCTTGATTCTGCTGCCATGTATCTCTGCCTAAAGTTAAGTCTATAAGCAGGAGGCGAGAGTTGGGGTCAAGTGCGATGCTATAAGTATGGCAAGGGCTCGCTACCCTTGCAAAGGTATTTGTATTGCTAGTAAAAGCAGCAGTAAAGAGGGGATCACCCTTATGCTAGAATTTGTCGAAGGTCAGAAGGGGGTCAATGGCACAACACAGTGTGATCCTCTTGACTGTTTGAGCTTGCAAGGAACAGAGAACGACGAAGGATTGCTAACGAGAAGATGAGGGGATTAGCGCATAGAATCAAAGCTCTTTAGGGTCGGAGTTCCTATGGAAACGCTCTAGTAAGGGTTTTTGTGTTGACGAGTCCTCAATGAATGTTCCTCTTGATGAAATCGTTGTTGGTGAAGGGACACAATAGTTGAAAGAGAGCTGGGGTTCTGATAGAGCTGGACGTGCCTTCCTTCCGAATTTCGGGATTAACTCATCTTGTGATTGAAGTGTCACGCTCTGGTGCTGCTCGAGAAACCTGCCCGAAAGGTGCAGCGCCCCAGACGTCGTCTTTCTAGCAAACAGCTCACATCAAACCACCGACCACTTATTTCTGAATACTTCCGGGACAACATTCTTCGGCTTATTTGTTGTAGAAAATAAGAGGTATAAACCGCTCGTGGAATGAGATCACCAACGATCAAATGACTACGACAGATTACCTTTCACAGTAGTGCGTTATTGTCAGCATTTTCACAGCAAATTACGTACTTATATGTATTAGGCTGTTGCAGTAACAATGTCGCTCAGTTTTACTTTTACAAAACTTGGCGCTCTTGAATCTACAGAGGTACTTGTGAACTCATTCGAAAGAGCTCGAGGCATTCAAGCTCGAGGCGTTCATTCATTTTGGAAGTAACTACTCCTTGACCACCTCATTTTGTTTTTCTACATTTTTTTTCTGAATAATGACTTTTCGGAAGTCCCGAGTGCGTACGTAAATGTTCTATGGCATCTTGAGGTGCTGAGAGTATAGTCAAAACGGTTACTATGGACTTTCGCAAAGAGCTCACTTCTAGCCTCTTCCATTGGTAAGAAAGAATGCAACGCCTACATAGCCTCGATGCACGACGGCCAAGCTGCATATCACGAAAGATCACCCAGCAAACAAAAGCGAGACTGGAGTGATGCTTCTTTGATGTCTCTCTTATACCTTCTCTCATACTCCATCTGAGTGCTGCTTATCCGAATTAACACTGCACGTTGCGAAGGAGCTATGATCCTGAGACTGCAAAGAATTCCGAGTCTTTACACGTAGTCGACAGTACACACATCATCTAGCTCTTTTAGAAGAACATCACATTTCTCGATTTCTCAAAAATGGTCAACCTTTATACATGATTAGGTATCCATCTCTTGCTCTAAGATACCGAGCAGCTTGCTGTTTCAAAAAATCTTAGGTACATCCAGAAACGGCATTTACTTTGCAATAATCCAATGCTACATCGTGTCTTTCTTCCATAATTTCGGCTGCATTTCAGAATGACGCACGTGTGCCCTTAGATTACGGTGCGCCCACGCGCGAAATCGTAATGTTCTACGTCCAGCACTGTTTAGCGAGTATTGATTATCTTACTGGGCCATCCTTGCTCCAACTTAGTATGTCCTGATCTATCGCGTTCACTAACACATAAATAAATAAATAAAACGAAGCCCCATTCAGATGTACCACGCGTGCAGGCAGACAAATTTGCGCGATGCCAGGTCCTTATCTGAGGATAACACCTAGACGGCGTCGAGAAGGTAATTGCGGTAGTGTGACCCACTCTCTCTATGACCCCATATGTGATTGATCCTGTGATTACCTGTTCCCAAAGTTCTAAGCTCTTCTTCAGAAGTACCGCCGAGGGTGAGCGGGTGATGATGGCCGAAACGGCTAAATATTGTGTGCCTTCTCCCCATCCAGAATTCCAAAATACGTCCTAGTCGAAGAATCTTTGGCAACCATTTAACGCAAGCCCTGCCCCACAAGTGTTGTATAGGCGAAGTTGCGGTGATCAGGTGCTCCTCAAATTCTAAACGGAAGTGCTACGGAGACGCACAAAAAAATTGATCAATGCCGGAGTCCTTATGCTTTTTTGCTTATTATTGCAGTATTTTAGTTCAATGATCTATTTTCCACTTATGAGAAAGATTGAGAAAAACGGTAGCTAAGGAATTTTTGGCCTGAGTGGCAGGTTAATACAATAATTTTCGAGGTCAGGTTGATCGGCAAATCAGTGCTTTACCTTTTGAGGAAGCTCTTGAAGGCACTGCAGGCGAACCCAGATTAACAACTCCTCGGTCCGTAAAGTGAACCTCTAGAGAACAACCACAGAAGTGTCTTCCGAAACTGCTCATCAAGGGAACCGGTTAGAGCGTTTCAACCGTATCAACCTCTGTCATTTGCGGCATGTTGATGTGCAGCGCTCTCTTATCCCTTGTGATCTCTCGCCTAATCTCTTTTTCCCAGCCCTTAACTCTAGCGTTTCTGAAGAAAAATGTTTTCTCTTTCTTTGCTGCCCACTCAACTCTTTCATTTTCGTGCGAAAGACTGCAGCATTTTGTCATGAGACATCTTTTTGAGATTCGAGAATTGGAAAACGTTAGATTTTACTTCGTTTTTCACCTGGAAGCCTTCCTCTCATAAATAAACAAGGCAATTCTCCAAGCAAGTCCATGTAGAAGGCATCATTCCATTTCATTCAAATGTATGTCTTCTTAACTATATTTAGTTCATGCACTTGGTTGCTGAAGTAGACTAGTGCATTAGGCGGTTCACTTCATT